CGCCGTAGAACTGTGTTGTGCGCGCAATAGCGTGCGGCGCCAACTGACATGGTCTGATATCATCATTATGAGTTAGGCTCCGCAAACTATCCCGAATCTCTAGTTGGTTTTAGCGATTTTATAAATCTTCAGTGAGATGTTCTAGAACAATCATACCCAGAATCAGTGGAGATATTATGTTCTCATTTTTTCCGTTCAGAACCCACCAGTAACACCACAGCTAAGAGAGGTTCACAGCAGTTGAGCCAAGAGGACATTGCCGCACTGACTACAGGAATTGGATCTCTCGGTACGCTAGAAATGTTCTCATAAGAAAGGTTCTTTGCGATTAATCAAGTAGGAGATCTTTCAGTTGGCGCACTTCTGGGACAAGCAGCGGATCATTTCCAGAAAAAGACTCCTACTGAGGGTGAGTTGTTTCTTCTCAGGGATGATGCTGCTTACAAAGCTATGCATTTGCTTCATTACTCTCGCGACTTCTACGCGATTTTACAGTATCCATTATTTTCATTCTTTGTGATTCATAAGATAGATGGAGAACATGGAATGCGCTAAGAGATGGGAAAATAGCTAAAGCTAAGCAAGCTTATCGCCACCATATATCTCCTAGAACATGAAACAATATATATAGATACGGTAGGGAAAAAGAGATTCCATGGAACCCCCGCGCTCCGCCTCACGAGCGCCTCAGTTCCCCTCCAAGCGCTATAAGGATACGACTAGAATTTGCGCCCTCGTTCTCCCCATTGGGTTGCGCCATGCGCCTGGACGTAGTTTAGGTTTTGCGTGTTTGATTCTTAAATCTTCTCGGAATTCTCACTTTCATCACCTTCTGTGCCTTGCTCTCTAGTTTTTCTGGTCGACTTTTATCGGAGATTATTTTCATTGGCCTTCTTTCAGTCCGTTGAATGATTTTATTTCATTTACTGTGTATTATCGTTCAAGAGGGCGGAAGTGGTGTAGTGGCAAGTGGCACGCTTACCACGCGAGCGGTCCGGGGATCAAATCCTGGGTCGTGAGTCGCCCGGGCCAACCAAGCCTTCCATCCCTCCGGGGTCGGTTAATTGGTACCAGACTTGTCAGGATAAAAACACTGACTTGTACATCGGCTGGCCCCCGCAAGTCATTGTATAGGCCACATCGCATTCAAACGCCACTACGAATGTACAAATGGAAGTAGAATGCGTGCCGCATCCCAAAAAGGGATTGATCAACGGCAAATGCTTTATCCTTTATTACCCAAGTTTAAGGTATTGCGCCGTGCGCCAATAAATTGTGGAACATTCGAAGTGTGGTTGCGTATTCTTCTGCGGTACCGGTCTGTGAACCTATCATTTATCACGGCGTGGCACGAACCACTCTTTACATGCTTCATTACCATTCCATAAGGTTATAGTGGTTGAGGTTGCGGACACACCAGCGCGCACGGTCGCGCGATTTAAAACTACATCCCCAGCTTAAATTGGAGAAGTAGCAGCGGTCGATAATGAAATTGTGCAAGCCGAAATGACTGAAAATGAAGAAAGCAAGGCAATCCGCCAATGGAACTTTTACAAGTATTCCCTCTGTTCCTTTTTGAAGGAAGGGCCGGAGAGTTTTCTGAACTCGTGTGCTTCATAGCTCCTCCTCTCTCGCGCGTTCTGAATTAG